GGCGGATCCACAGCAGCTCGTCTTGCTCCCGCACCCAGCAGATCCGCAGCAGCTCGTCTTGCTCCCACACCCAGCAGATCCGCAGCAGCTCGTCTTGCTCCCACACCCGGCGGGTCCGGAGCAGCTCGTCTTGCTCCCGCACCCGGCGGGTCCAGAGCAGCTCGTCTTGCTCCCATACCCGGCGGGTCCGGAGCAGCTCGTCCTGCTCCCGCAGCCTGCTGGAGCAGCCTCATGATTCGCGCTCCCTCCTGACACAGAGGCCGTGACTCCGCCATCGGCGCTTCCTGTTCCGCCGGAGGTGGGCTCCGCTGCAGGGCCGTGGCTGCCTGCAGCGGTGCTGGCCGTGGAGGCTGTCTCTTTGGCTGAGGGGCAGGAAGCTTTGCTGCCGCTCCCTCGCGGAGGAAGCGACTCACTTGCTGCAGGAGCGAAGAGGTCTGAGGCAGGAGGACCTGAGGAAAGAGGAAAGGGAAAGCAGCTTGCTCTGCGGCTGTTTCCGTGGCTCTCCTGGGGCTGCAAGGGGACCGAGCACTGAGGGAGTGTCAAGGTATCTGGGCTTGTTCACTGACCCCTGCAAGTCTGGGAAGCTCCCATCCTGGCCCTGGGCACGAGGGGTGCCCCGTCCTGCGCAGGCCCACGGCAGCAGCAGCGGGGAAGCGAGGGGCCAGAGCCCTCCAGCACTGCCTCTGCGTGCAAAAGAAGTCTTGGGCTGATGGGCAGAGCACGAGAGCGGGGCTCCTCCTCCATGCCTTCAAAAGCCACAGACCGCTTTCCTTGCAAAATGTTCTTTGTTGACCCAAAAGCACCAAGCACCCAGAGTGCATCTCTGACCATGCGCAGAACAAGTGGTTGAACCCAGTGTAGTAATCGGCTCCGTGGTGATTGGGCAGGGGAGGTAAAAAGGCAGGTGGGGATCCCGCGGGTGGGTCCCCAGTCCGGGCGAGCTCTCCAACACAGCTGTGGCGGAATCCCACCCCCCGCGGGATGTCCTGCAGCCCTGCTTTCAGCCAAGAGCCCCCGGCTTCTGTCCCAGCCCACCAACCCCACCCACTCACAGCCACCAGAGCCCCTCATGAAGAGCTCTGCTCCTCCTGGCCCGACCCAGGTGCCGAGAGGGTGTGGGGCTGATCCTGCTGCACCCACCACCGGCACAGCCCCCAAAATATTGCTCCCCAGGGGAACGCAGCCTGCAGTGGGAAACGCATTCCCCTCCTCTTGAGCTGAGCTCTAAAACAGGAACAGGGGCTCTCCTTTGGTCCTTGGCCCTACAGCAGCGCAATCCCGCTGCCCGGCCAGCCGGCTGAAGGCCCTTTTCAGACCAGTCGGCAGCTCTCCCGCCCCTCTCCCGGGAACACCCTCGTGGCACAACATCTGCTTAGTCTGTGGACAGTCTGGGCAAGGGACGCCTTCTTCAGCCCCCCGATTCACACCCCCAGATTGCTCTGGCGGTGCTGGAAAGTGACCTCGTCTCCGCACACAGATCCCGCAGACCCCTGGGCCTACCCCGCAAGTCCGCCTCTACCTTTTTGGGGCCCTTCTCCTTTGTTGTTGAAGAGGCCCGTGGACTTCTTGCCCGCCAGCTCTGTGGACTCCCTTGGGGTTTCCGCACTTCCCTTTCCCGTGGCTCCTTTAAGAAGACAAGATGCAAACCATTTCCCAGGCACAGTCTAGCCACGTGAAGGCAGAAAGCGGTCCTACTTCTCCTTGTCTAAACATGCCTGGGATCGCTCCCTAAAACAGTCGCACGCGATACATTCTTCAACTCTGTGGTGTGCCCCAGTTCAAATCGGGGTCCATAGTTCAACTGTGCACTGTGGGAAGAGACCCCTTCTTTTTTCCGTCTTGAACCTCCCACTCACTTTCTTCATGGGGTTCTAGCGACCTTGCAGTTCTAGCATTACGGGAGAAGGAGAAAAGGGCCCTTCTCTCCACCGCCTCGCACCTGCCTCATTACACACCTCTCTCACGCCTCCTTTCACTGACCTTTCCCCGCTTTTTGAAATCATTCTGTGTAAGGGGTTGCTCTACCCCCTTCCCCTGATCTACCCATCCTTTGAGTTGCCTCCCTCGGCACGTCTGTGCAGAGCTTGCAGCCAAAGGAGGAGAAAGCGGGGCCAGGGGAGGGGGCCAAGGCCAGGGAACGGGAGGCGTTTCTCTCCATCCCGAGGCCACCCAGGGCCTGCCTGCTCGGACGCAAGTCCCATTCAGAGGCAAGTGGATGTTTGGACGCAGCCCTCTGCCAGGGAGGGACAGAAGGGGGTCGCTGAGAGGGGGAGTGAAGGGAGCGGAGTGCACCAGGCGCAGGAGGGGGCGTCTGCCGGGACGGGGCAGGCAGCTGCCGAGGCCCGCAATTTGTTGAGGTTGCTGAGGGGGGTCCCCTCAGCCAGAACCGGCACAAGCCCCCCACGCTGAGGAGGGAGGCTGCTGCTGTCCAGTGGGGCAGGAGGAAGGGCGAATGGCTGCAGCCTCTGCAGCTCACGCACCTGGCTTCTCGGCCGGCGGCCCCTGGTCAGGGACCGTTGTGGGAAAGAGCTTGTCAGTGGCTGGGAGGCCTTCCCTGCAGAACTTCTCCTCCAGCTTCTTCAGGTGGTACGCCATCTTCCTTTCCAGTACGGCTTGTTTCTGGAGGAGGCCAGAGGTGGGACCTCAGCGCTTGCTTGCAGCCACGGCCATGCGGAGGAGCCTTTCCTCCAACCCACTCCAGGGAAAGGGGCCCTGCACTAACAAGAGCCTGGGAGTTCTTCTAATTAATCCACCCAGGAACAGGCACTCTCTGTTACTGTATTATTTATTTTATTTATTAAAACATTTCTATGCCGCCCCTTGCCAAATTCTTTCTGGCACAGTTTCGTTCTGGTGCAACTCAAAATGTATGAAACTCCGGTGAACGTGATCAGCCCTATAAAATTAATAAATAGGCCAAGACAACTGAAGGGACTCATCCGATAGGAAAGTGAAGCCCACGTTGCCAGGGCTGAAAAACAAAATGGAACCAGTAACATCCCTGAAAGGTGCTTTGAAATCCCGGAGATGATGAGGCAAACCTAAAAGGTTCCAAAGGAGGGCCATGAATGTTGCCCGGCGCTGGCCCCAGAGAGCTTGGAGAGGAGCTACCTGGGATCGCCTGTGGGGAGGCGGGTCCGGTCGGCCAGTGGCTCGGGACTAAATGAACCGCCTTGGCCTGGCCCAGGGAAGTGGACGGGTGCCTTGCTCAGCCCGGGCGCTGCAGGGGGTCTGAGTGGCCCTCGGTGGCGCCAAGTGCCGCTGCGCGAAAGGCGCAAGGGGGCCATGGGCGAGCTGCGGTCGCCGTGCCGGCCAAATGCTCTGGGCAGCTGCCCTGCCCTGCCGAGCTACTCACCCTCCTCAGCTTCTCCTCCTCGCTCTTCTGCCGCTGTTCTTCAATTCTGCCTTCCCGTTTCACCTCATTCCCAATCTTCACCAGGAGCATCATTTCCTTTTTCCTCCATTCCTGGAACAAGTGGCTCGTCGGATTCCTATGCCCTAAGGCCTTGCACTTGGGGCACAGGAATGGGTGTCACAAGTGCAGGTTAGGGGACAAGCGGCTGGAGAGCAGCACTTGCGAAAGGGACCTCGGGGTGCTGGTTGGCTGCAGGCTGAACATGAGCCAGCAGTGCGATGCGGTGGTCAAGAGGGCGAGCGCCATCCTTGGCTGCATAGCCAGAAGTGTGGCTTCTAGATCGAGGGAGGTATTACCACCACTCCATACGACTCTGGTGCGCCCACAACTGGAGTCTTGTGCTCAGTTTTGGGCCCCTCATTACAGGAAGGATATAGCCAGGTTGAAGCCAGTGCAGCAAAGGGCCACAAGGTTGGTGGCCGGTTTGCAGGGGACGCCGTATGGGGCGAGACTGAGGGAGCTGGGTCTCTTCAGCCTGGAGAAGAGGAGACTCAGAGGGGATCTGTTGGCGGCATACAGGTATGTGAGGGGGTGTCACATGAAGGTGGGCAGAGACCTGTTCTCCCCTGTGGAGGAGGGCAGGATACATTCCAATGCAGCGAAGCTCAGGGAACCAAGGTTCAATTTGGATGCCAGGAAATACTGGCAGTCGGGACCCCGAGGGTGTGGAATGGGCTTCCTTGGGAGGTGGTTGAGGCCCCATCAGTGAGGGTGTTCAAAGATAAGCTAAACATGCACATGGCGGGCATCTCATGAGTGGAGCCAGCTGGAGCCGGGGGTCAGACTAGATGGCCCAGGAGGCCCCTTCTGACTCGCTCTGATCCTGTTTCTATGTCAGCAGAGTGACTGGGCTTCGCTCTGGCATGAGCAGAGTGCAGGCAGTGGGCCAGCTCTGTTCTCCCAGGAAGCCCAGCAGCACAGCGATCCAAGCGGCAGCGGGAACCTCTCAGGCCTCTCGGGCTCTCGGTGCAACCTCAACCAGCCAACGCTGCCTCCAGCAGTGAGCAGCGGCTCCAGCCTGAGACAGGTGCTGTCCCCACCCTGGGTGGCAGCCTGCCCGCGCAACCCTCTGGAGGCGCTCCGGGGCGGGAGGATAGTCTGCGCAGACGGGTGGCTGAACTGGGAGGCCTGCACTCGGCGGGGGCTGGGCCCTTCCAGCTGCACGATTCTGAAGGGACGCGGCCTGCTGGTTACAGGCACTATCCGTGGTGCTGAACCAGGGCAGAGGCTCACCTGGTTCAGCACCCAGAAAGCTCCTAAAATGTTCACCCTGAATCCCCAGGTGGAGACACCGCCCCGCTGGCAGTTCATCACAGAAGCTCTGGAAGACCCTGCCAGCATCCGAAGGCAGGGATGCCAAGCGCAGGCCGCATCCCCAGCCCTCTGGGCGGGGGGTCCCCGGCCTTCGTCTGCTCCTGCGTTCTCAAAAGCCGCAGGACGGAGTTGCCGGCAGTGGGAGTTTGCGCTGCGATAGGCTGGTCTTCTGACCTTGCCCCCATTTCTATTTGCCCCACCCCGTTTGTCTCTGGCTCCGCCCCCCCGGGAATAGGCCTTCTCGGGGCTTCTCCGAAGAGGCCCTGTGCCTTAGGCTGGAAGGTGCTTGGCGCCCCTGGGCTGAGGCCCCTGGAGCCCCCAGGATGTGCAACAGTGGGAGGCCCCCAGGAAGAGAAGGTCGGCATGCTGGGCCACCCACCGGGGCCACCCCCGTGGCTCTCCAGGAACCCTTTCCGCAGGCAAGAACGGGTGGCCGTGGGACGCACCCACACCACTGTCCCCACAAGCCCTCCCCACGGCCCCATGTGAAAATGGGGGCAGGACAGGGCCGGGCCGGGGCTCCTGCATGCCGCTCGGGGGAGGCACGGAGAGGGCACGCCTTGCAAGGCCCGCTCCCTGCAGCCCCGGTGCAGGGCTCCCGCAGCCAGAAGGGCAGCCCGCTGCAGAAGCGGGGCGCCGAGTGCCCAGGCCCATTGCCAGCTGTACCTCCTCCATTTTCCTCCGCAGGAGCAGCTGCTTCTTCTTCTCCACGCCCTGCTGCTTCTTGTCGTCCTGAGCCAGAGCGAGGCGCCGGTTCTCTTCGGCGAGCTGTTCCAGCTTGGCCAGTTCCTGGTTGATCAGCTCTAAATACCTGTGGAGTCGATGTCGTTGGGCAGGGGGGCGGGGGGGGGACAGACCATGAAGAGAACGGCTTGGAATGGCTTGGCTGGTCTCAGCAGGATGGCTCTGCTCTTCCTTGGGGCTCCGGGGGCTGCCCCATGGTGGGGGGCTGCCCTCCATGAGCGTTGCCAGGGCAAGCGTGGCAAGGCAGGCTGCAGACTGGCCCCTCCTGTGCCGCTCGGGCTGGCCTTGGGCTGGCGCAGGCCCAGCTTCGCCACCCGCAACGGGCACCCGCTGTTGCGACACAGCACAGGAGGTTTGGGGCAGCATGAAGGAACATTCCTTAGCTTGCTTCCTCCCTTCGCACAGAAGGAGCAGGAGGGCACCCGGCAGGGAAGGCAGGGACAGCTCTGCTCGCAGGCTGAAGCCAGCGCCCCCTTGAGGCCGCGTGCGCAGCAGGCGCCTGTGCCAGCCGCCCCAGCCCAGTACCTGCTCCTCATCACATGCTCCTGCTCCTGCTTTGTCGGCCTCTCCTCCTTCAGGAGCCACTCCCGATATCTGGAAGTGTCGGCACCCTCTGGAATGTGTGCCGTGTCTTGGAGCTTGGTGACTTGCTTTTCCAACATTTTCTGGAACGATCCGAGGGGAAGCAGCCATGAGGACTTTGCTCCGGAGGCTGCTGTCCCCGGGGACTGTCTTGCGGGCTGCGGGCTGCGGCTGGTGAGCCCAGTGCTGCGGTGCGCTTTGGGACCTGCTGGGGCTAACAGCCCCTTCCCACTGTGCCGTCCGACTGGTGGTCCAGGGCACCCAGGAGGCACCAGCTGGAGGGATTCAGCCTCAGGCCAATGCACAAGGTTAGCGGGGGGAAATGCTGCCGGTTCTCACACGTACTTGCTCTCGGATGTAGTGTTTTTCAAAGTCCAGCTTGAGTGAAGTCAGGTAGTGCCTATATTCATTGAACTCCTTCAGCGTGCACACAACCTAGGTGGAAAAAACGAGGGCTGCGGTGTGGTCGGGCTGAGAGGCTTCGTGCCGTGCTGGCAGCCGGGAAGCGCCCGGCTCGGATCAAGGCGTCCCTGGTGGACGAAGGGAAGCGAGCGTGAGAGTGCCTGTGCATGGGTGGGAGGTTGCAGTGGCCACAAAGTGCCTGCAGAAGGAGGGGGGTGCTGGGCTTCAGCATTTCTCTGCAAATGCTGGAAACCTCCAGGCAAAATGAGAGAGCTGGAGGGCACGGCGACAGGAGAGAAGCTGGATGCAGTGGGCGCTATGGATGCCTCCTTCCGTGCTTCTGTCTGGAAAGTGTCCAAAGCGGTGTGCAGGTTCTCTCCACGGCCTTTGGTCTGCATTGGCCCTTGGACACGAGCTAGTGGTCCCCAGGCACTGCAGTGCTGGGACTCATGTGAAGGGGCCAGATTGGGTACTGAATTATCCCAGAAAGGCCAACCCTCTTGCCTATGAAGCATCTTTGGATTTGTGGTAGAGTCAGAGCAGAGCAGAGCAGAGCAGAGCAGAGCAGAGCTGGAGGCGGCCACTTTGCAGCTTCCCCCTGACGTGCTTTTCCTCCTCTTTCTTACCAGCTGCTGCTCTGATTGTTTTGGGCAGCTGGGGTGGAAAGAGAGAAATGCCTGGGAAGAACCCACCCCGACCTACCTTGTTTCTGTCTGTGATGTGGCCGGCCCGTTTCAGCCTCCGCAGGTTGTCTTTGCGCTTGTGGTAGGCACGCAGGTGAGGGTCGTGGAGGCTGTTGTACCTGGGGGCCATGACTTTGCAGTAAGGGTCATTCAGGTCAAAAGTGGCCGTCGGCTGGTACAGCTGAAAAACACAAACCGCCACATAGCTCTTGGGAGCACGTCTGCATCCCTTTGGCCAGCCTGCGTCCTCTTTCGGAGGCCTGCAGCTCCTGGTCCACAGGTGATCGCAGAGGATTTATCCTAGTGCCTCTTTGCGGGAGTGTACTGGCTGGGAAATATCTTCTCATAGCACACTTTTCACCTTGAAAGGTGGCCTAGATCGACCGAGAGGCACACAGAGGTGGGCAGCCGTGCTGATTTTTAGTAAAAGAAATTTCCCCAGGAAGAGGGAATTGAGAGCAAGACACGCCAAATGTTCAGCTCAGGGTCTAGCAAGCCTCTCCATTTCTACTTTTCAATGGCTTTGTTCAAAAACTATTGAACATGTCGCTAGTTCAGTACAACACTGTCATGCTGTATTCTCCATCAGCCTCAGCCAATGTGCACAATAGTCAAAGAAGATGGGACCTGTAGTCAAACCACATCCTGAAGGCCCTGTGTTTCCCACCATGCTTTGTTCTAACGTGTTGGTTGAACACCAGAATGGTGTCACAGGAAAGACACATTTGGGGGGAGTTGACTCTCTCCATGTTCACCTTTTCGCCCAAATTTGTTGTGTAGAACATTGTGTTGGAGCCGGGTAGGAAAGGGAGCTTGGCAAAGAGTGGCATCTCCAGCAGCTGGTTAGGTCCCACGGTCGGCATCTGTTTCCTGGGGCCCATCTAGAAGACAGAAACCCCCCATGAATGGGGAAGTAAACTTGGAGGTGTCATGTTTTAATTAATAAATAAATAAATAAATAAATAAATAAATAAATGGGAAGGCCTGTATTTTCCAGTTCTGTGCCCCGCAAATGCACCCTCCTGGGTGGAGCTATCTTGGGAAGTGGTGCAGAAGCTGCTGCTTGCACTGAATGGAGCTGGCAGAAGTTGAACAGGCAAGACCGATCTTGCACCAGTTTGGAAAAGACACCCCCACCCCGGCAATGGACTGTGCACTTGCGGGCCCAACTCCAAATGCTGGTTCTGAGAGCCCCACCTCGCCCCACCCACCTCTACCTGCTGACATCCTCTTCCAAGGGCAGATGTCCATTGGGGGGGAGCGGTCCTGGCAGGAGGCCCCCATCTAAGAATTCTCATTCCCGTGCCTGGAGTCAAAGCCCTGAACCGCTGAGGCCAAGGGAAGGTGGGCGGGAGACCTCTGGGTGTTCTGTATGCCAGCTCCCAGCATTTCTGATCCCTGGCCGTGCTGGCTGTGACTTCCAGGAAGGGAAGCCTAAAGTGCCCAGAGAGCGCCCTCCGATCGTGCTCACCCGGAGGATTCCTCAGAGGAAAAGGCAAGCGCCAGCCCCAGCAGAGGCTGCGGCCAGCAGTAAGGAGCACCCTGGGCTGTTCTTGGATGTCCCCACATGCGGGAGACAGAGCCAAATTCATCTCTGGCGGATAACCGAGGGCAGGGGACCTAGTGCAGGCAGCAGAAAGCCAGGTGGGCTGCAGTGCGGGCCCCCCTCCAAAGGAGCACGCTGACTGCAGCAGTCCAGCGGGACAATCCCCAGACCTGTACGTGGTGAGAGCCCCTTCTGCATCCTCGCCGTGGCATTCCTATCAGGACAGATCTCTTGCCTTTGGCTGCCCCAGGCCCCACTCCTGGCCCTGGACTCCTGCAGCCATGAGCTCCGTGGCCTGCACCCTTCTCCCGCCGACCTCGTTACCACCGACCCCAGCACCAAAGAGAGCCCTCCTGCATGCTCTTGGTCTACACTGGGCATGCTAGACACTGCCGGGAAACCTGCCGGGCTTGCCCGCTGCCTTCCGCCTGCCATTCCAGCCCAGTCCCCAAAAGGCCTCCTTTGCTGCCTTGGCTCGCATGTTGGGGCAAGCTGCCCCACAATCCATGCTGTTGACAGCCTCCTGTACGCTGCAGGGGACTGTCGTGTGTTTAGGAGTGACTATCTGCCTGCAGACAACACAAATCCATGTGCCTGGCAGGATGATGGCACAAGGAGTACCAGCTCCCATCCATCTGTTGGCAGGCATCTGTGGCGGGCTGGCGCTGAACGGAGGTGAACGGGAGCCCTGGAAATGAACCCTCAGGGGAGGGACTGGGCAAACCCATCGTGGACAACATCTGAGCATCGAGTGCTCCCAAGGGGCCAAAAAACAGGCGTGCCGGCCATGCCTGGAGCCCCCACTCTGCTGCCCCCCCGGCTCACTTCGATCACGTCCTCGTCTGGCTCCAAAGCCTCCAGCGCGGTGCGGGCACTCTCCGTCAAGTAGTGCCCCATGGCTGCCTTCAGCAGCCCTCGGTTGGGGTACGCCATCCTGGGGACTCTGCGTGAGCCGCTGCCCCAGAGGACTTGTCCTCCAACTGCCGCCCGCACGCCGCCTTCTAGAACCTCTGAGGCGCTCGGGGCAACAATGGCCATTCCCTGCGCTGGGCAGTGTTCTGCGCTCCCGCCCTCCGCTCGCCATCGGTGCCTCTCCCTGGCCCTGCGTCCCAGGAGGCGGCGACTACCGCGCGGGTCGTGCCGTTCCTGGTTTGCCTGGGAGCTCGTTGTGTCCTCTGAGCCGGCCGAGGTGGGTGCTTCGCCTGTGCTGTTTAAACGCACTCGTGGGAGTCTCCAAGCATCCCCAGTGCGTCTTCTGGGAAATGGGGGTTCGTGGTGCTTTGGGAAGACAGATGTGTGAGTCGTCATTTTGTACAATGTGGGGGTGGGGGGAGGAACGTCTGCGGCGGACTCCGCACAGTGGCCAGGTCACATGCCCATGAGCCTCGCTGGCCTGCCATGCTGTGAAATGGGTGCTGCAGCGGAAAAGTGTGCATTGCAAGTGTTTGTGTTCTGGAGTTCACGTCACACAGTTGCTTCACACTTTGGTTCCTGGACAAGTTGACCTTCCCTTCCCTTCCCTGCTGCTTTGCCACTGCACCTTGTGGGGGCTCATGTGCCGCCACAGCGCACCTTCTGTGAGAGCACAGCTTCTCCAGAGTGGGGAGCTGTCAGGCTGCAAGAGGGCAGCCGCTCTCAGGAAGGGGAGCTGCCCCTTTTCAAGGATGCCCCCCACTTGTGTCATGGGGGACAGGGTGGGGGGCAGCACTGGGGCCCAGTTCGCCCTGCTGGAGCTGGCACTAAGCGGACACGCCGCCAGTGCTGGCTGTGCGTTCCGGGGGCCCTGGGAAAAGGCCAGCCTGGGCTCCTTCCACAAGGAAGCTGGCCACCCTGCCCCGTGGCCACCAGCCACCCTGCAGAGGATCCTTCGCAAGGCTGAGGCTGATTATGAGCTGAGACTCGCAAAGAATATCAGGAGCAACAAGAGAGTCTTTCATCAACATGGCAGCAGCAAGAGGAAGGGGAGACAGGCGGTGGGACCGCTGAGGAGGAGGACGGGCGTTCGGGGCGGACGCGCGGGGACAGTCACGGGTGCTGCGCGCCTCTTCGCCTCAGGCCTGCGGCGGACCCTCGTCGGCCCTTTCACCGACGGCCTGGAGGAGGCGGCCGCTGCGCAGCGACGCCACGCAGCGGGGCGAGGTCCCGCGCCCGGCGGCGGCGGCGGCGAGGGCAGCAC